TAGCGAGACAATAGACACGTATATAAACAAGGCCAGGGGCGGTAGCTCACGCCTGTAATCCTAGCACTCTGGGAGGCCGAGGTGGGAGCATCGCTTGAGCTCAGAAGTTCAAGACCAGCCCGAGGAAGAACAAGACCCCATCTCTTAAAAAAAAAATAGACACATACACAAACAAGAAAAATATCAGGTAGAGAAATTAAAATAGGGTGATATGACAGAGTAGCTGGGTCCTAGTTTAGGCTGAGTGCTGAGCAAAGGTCTCAGATAACATTTAAGCTGAGATTTGAATAGCAAAGAGCCAGCTACCTGGGGGATCAAGGGAAAAAGCATTTCAGGCAAAGCAAACAGTTAGTGCAAAGGCCCTAAGGCTGGCATGAGCTTGGCTTGTTCAAGAAAAGAGAAAAACTAGTATGGCTAGAGTGATGTAAGTAGTGGCATTAATTGCCGCTGGGCAATACGCAGGGGTCAGACTCTATTGTGCTTTTTGAGCCACCGTAGTCAGTTTGGATTTTATTCTGAGTGCAATGGGAAGCTACAAGAGGGTAGCATGCAGTGAAAAATATGATTTAGGTTTATAAAATGTCACTGTGATTGCTATGTTCATATACATAAATCAGGACATCAGAAATGACTGAAAATGATTTTACACAATGGCAGGGACAGAAAAAACCTTTAGAGATTAACCCAACCTCCCTCTCATTTTACAGGGAAGGACACTGAAACCTAGAAAGCTGAAGTGACTTGCTAAGGTTACAAATCTAGCTGGTGGTCGCACTGGGACCAGTACCCAGATTTCCTCACTCTCTTCCCACTGTACCAATTACAGCATAGTAAAGTGGGAAGAGGGATCAGAAAGAAACACATACACACACACGTACACACAAAAGCACAACAGTCTGGGGCCGCAGTGTCTGGGGACAAATAAACCTATACAATTCAGTAACCTGTGCAAATATCACGATATTATAGTGTGGCCCAGAAACTGATATTGATGTTAGGAAGGCAGTGTAGCATAGAAGAAACACAGCTGAATTGGGAGTCAGAGACTTGGGCTCTAATCCTGGCTCTGCCACAGTTAGTCACTTTTTGTATTCAAGTTTCAGTGTTCTTGCCTGGAAAAAGAGGATAATATAACAAATGTACTCTCAAACACCTTCTAATGAAAATTTTATAATGGCCTTTGGTCCCCAAAAACCCATGCTCATTTTCGGTGTGCTAAGTATTTAATATATTTTAAAATAACCTTCATTGAAAATACTGCCATTTAAGGGGATAATCATCATATATTTAAAGGAATGCCTTGTTCCATAAAGATGAGAGATAAGCAAAGCATTACAGCCTTAATTTATTTTTTTTGAGACAGGGTCTCACTCTGTTGCCTAGGGTAGAGTGCAATGGTGTCACCATAGCTTGTTGCAACCTCAAACTCCTGGGCTCGAGTCCTGCCTCAGCCTCCTGAATAGCTGGGACTATGGGCATGTGCCACCATACCTGGCTAATTTTTCAATTTTTTTTTTTTGTAGAGACAGGGTCTTGCAAACCTCAAGTTTGAGGCTGGTGTTGAACTCCTGGACTGAAGTAATCCTCCCACCTCGGTGTTCCAAAGTGCCAGGATTACAGGCATGAGCCACAGCACCTGGACTTTTTTTTGGGGGGGTGGGGGAGGTGGGGAAGGAGCCTTAATATTTCAATGTTGACCTTTACTCTGTCCAGTGTCAAAGAAGCTTCCTTTGGCGCTAGCTCAAACATTAAGGCAAAGATTTCTTCACTAAAAAATGCCTGAGGAATTGTTCCAAATTCATAAGGTGGAACAGAAAAAAGTTTCAATGCTTAAGATAAGTATCATGTTCAGAAGAGCAAGAGAAGCCATAAGATGTACACAGAGCAAGTGTAACGGAGGTGAGAGGAAGGAGGGATTATTTGTGGCTAGGGAATCAAACTGGTCTCATCAAAGAGGTTAACATTTGCCTTGGATGGGGCTTTGACCAATCCAGCATCTGGAGGGAGCATCTGAAGAACCGGCCTCAGATCCAGAAGCTATGGAAGGTTGAACTGTATGAGCTTAGGCACAGAGGTGGAAAAGTACAGTTGTGAAGAGAAACAGCATGTAATTTAGTTTGGCTGACATGAGAAATAAAACCAACCTACTACCGTGTCTGCTTAAAAATTTGTTCTTACCCAATGCCACTAACTCGAGTCAGGAAATTGATGGATGAACTCGTATCATCCTGTCGAATCTTTAAGGAAAAAAAAAAAAAGTCTAACAATAATTTAGGAATGCTTTGAGGACCTAAGTGATCTCATTGGAAATATACCAGTCTGCTAAGAGATGTGAAGAGCCATTTACATTTGCCTGGATAACCCACACGAAAGTATTCATGTATAACCTAGGTCATTAGAGGTGAATAACACAGTAGCTGAAGCTGTCTCATCTCTAAGTTACCCAATATTTTTAAAAGGCCTATTCATAAAAGACCAGAAGTGATATTATTCCTATCTTAGGGTGAAATAAAACCATAAAAATGCCTAGGAGAATTTAAGCATAGAAATTCTAAAAGATAATGATTTTTTAGTCAAATCTATAATCTCTTTTCTAAAAGGTACTGAAAATGAGGAGCTAACTCTGTCATTGATGCTAAGTTGCTTAAATGCCACATAAAATAAGTGAACATTTTATAGGAACAATATTCAAATTTTCAAAAATAAAGCCATCGACCTCACTGATCTCTTTCCCTCTAAGTCTCACTAGTGTAGCATCAGTCACTCTGCAGTGATGCTCCATGACAGCCATCATAAAGGCAGACACTACAATCAAAGAAGTAAACGACTTAAAATTTTACCTTTTCCAGTTTACGTAATTTTCCAGTTGCTAAAAACTCATCAATCTTTTCAGCAATTTTTGTTCCCACTCCAGGCTACGTGGAAAATTAAAAATATAAAAGTCATATAAATATAATGCTTACCAAATCACTAAAAAATAAAGTAAGAAGTAGGAAATGAAAAACAAATTAATACCACATGACAAGGTTCGAAACAAAGGATATAGAAAATTGAACCCCAGTAAAAAATTCTCCCAGAGGCAAAATGCTTAAACGATTGACAAAAGGGAAAGCCTAGTAAAATAACTGTAAATATCTCATTTATTTAAAATTAATTTTTGTTATAGAAAAATTAGAAAACAGTTGCATTAAAGAATACGAAAATCCCTCATCAATGGCACTACCCTGAAAATTAAAATCATCTGTAACCTCATCCCCTAACATTTGGTATATATTACTTCACTTCTTATAAGCAGAATTATGTGTGTGTATATATATGCTTTTTACTTAATACAACATGAACAAATTTCCATATCAGTAAATAAACACAACTATGGGATGTGTAATGGCTGCACAGTACATCATTGTATGAATGTGTAATAATTTACTTAACAAATACCCTACAAGTGAACATTTAAATGGTTTCCAATTATTTGATAATATACCAATGCTTTCATAAATTTCCTTTAAAACAGAGGTTCTCAAGCCTTTGCACACATCAGCATCACCTGGGGAACTTGTTAAACTGCGGAATGCCAAGTCCCACCCTTGAGTTTCTGACTCACTGCATCTGGAGGGGAGTCAAGAATTTGTTTTTCTAAGTTCCCAGGTGAAGCCAATGCAGCTGTCCTAAGCACCACACTCTGAGAATCACTGACATTTCCACCAGGTACACCCACCAGATGTGACAATTAAGTTTAAATTAATTAAAATTTAAAATTCCATTCTTTGGTCACACTAGCCACATTTGAAGAACTCAATAGCCAAATGTGGCTCGCGGTTGCCATACTGGACAGCACTGCTCTAGAATACAAGCTCTTGGAGAGCAGAGATCCTGTCTTTTCATTGCTTTATCCCTAGCACCTGGCATATAGGTACTTAAAAATTATGAACTAATGAATCCACGTATACACATATCTCTACTGGTTTCTTTAGGACAAATTCCTCAAAGTGGAATTGCGAGGTCAAAGGATATATACATTCTACCAAGTTATCCTCCAGAAAGGCTGTGACAACCAACACTCTCATTAGCAGTCAATGAGTGTCCTTTTTTTCACATCTTTATCCACATTGCATATATTTGATAATTT